CGTTCGTTTCCGCATATGAACAACACATGACCAAATAGGCTTTATCATACAAAACATGACTAGTCTCGTACTTATACACCCTATGAACCATACGCATCCATATCGGATCTGACCACAATGTCTTAGGTCAAAGGACTACATCGTGCACTGATATAACCAAACGATAAATCATTGACTACATACTTTTCCAAGTGATTTGTCGTTATTCAGTCACATTCAAAAAACAGTTCACAAACCGTTAATCCATACCAATGCCCCAGTGACATGACTATCATTGTCATCCGTACTTATATCAACTCATGATATCTTTCGGAAGCATCCAATATGCCTACTGTGCAATATAGTTTCCCAAATTATATTGCTTCCATAGAGAACCCTTTTCGATAATTCATTTACTAATTAAATGAATCATCTGGACAATTCATATACATACTTTATTTTAAATGCATGACTGAATAAAGAAAGCAATTTATATATATGAATTGAAGAACTCTTTCTTATATTATTTATGATATATAGATACAAGACAAAATGCTCTAAAACCGACAACACGTATATTTTCTAGGGCATACACTAATATACACTAACAGAATGTCAATAAACATTGGAAAAGGGAAATCTCTAGCCAGAGTATAATGAATGTCAGATGAAAAGTAATTTCATGTTGACGAGTTCCATTGTATCGATTGACAATTCAATTAAAGATTAAGTTAAGGGTTTTGACATACCATGAACCATTCTTGATTGGGATTAGATGATGGAGGGATTTTACTACACAATACGTACGATCAGAAAAGGTTCATTGGAGTTTACACTTCATTGTGGTTTAGAGGTTATGGAACATTGCTAGACGTCTAGCATAATCAGTAGGAGTTTCGATTATAAAGAGTTATAACGAAACATATATTGGGCCCATGGCTAGATCACAGTGAACCAAAATTGTCACACATAAAACCAAGCTCAAGGAGAGAGAGTAATACATATCATTAATCAGATTAATGATGTTCGAACATAAACAGTTGCATTCGAATTAACGTATTGGTGAGAAATGATTATCCATGGATAGCTAGCACTAACCAAGGGTAATAAGGATTTATTAAATATTATTATTGAATTGGATTCAATAATGGGGACAAAAGTGCATTGGTTTTATTNAATTATTGCTTGACCATTTTAACCCTTAAAATATCACAAATAATTTTCTATGTAACTATTACTATAGAAATCCCGTTATTACCCTCGGAAGGTGCTAGCCCTCTTCGGATAATCATTTCTCTCTCTCATCCCTCTCTAACTTCTCAAGGCTATTGGTGTGACCATGTAGGTCCACCGTGGATTAGCCGTGAGCCAGTTCTGGTACGCAATCATACGTACCATGCAGGTAAAGTCCCTCCATTGACATATCCTGATCGAGCACGGATTCATGGAACGTCAAAATCCTAAACTCGATCTTCTACCGAATCGTCGATTAATATGTCAGGAACTCGTCATCACAAACTTGCTTTTGTATGACTAATAATAGACTTTGGCCAGAGATTCTGTTTTTTGACATTTATCGATGTTTGTCTAGGAACTCGAATCCGGATGGAGTCAGCGGGACTCCCGATCCTATATTTCCGAGTCAATGGATCCCCTCTTGACTATCGTTCGTTTCCGCATATGAACAACACATGACCAAATAGGCTTTATTATACGAAACATGATTAGTCATACGCATTCATATCGGATCCGACTACAACCTAATATATCATGCTGACTTAATATATCATGCTGACTTAATCGAAATTTCCTAACATATAAAATTCTTAATTTATTCCCAAAAACTATGTAAGAATGAAACAAAAGCAAACACTCTTGGGTCTATTTGTTTTAATATTTTTCCCTATCTTATTCATACTATTTCCAAAATACACGTTTGTTTCCCTATTATAAAAATACTATTATATTATATTCAACTATTTTTAAACCTCCTAAGTTTATTAATTTAACCAAACACCCCTCGAAAAAAAGTTCAGAAATTGACAAAAACACCCCCACCCACCCACATTTGCCAGATTCTGACCACCATTGCCTAAAGGTAGCTGGAATATGGTATAATGGTGCACTACCGGCTGGATCTGGCCAGTAGTATGCCGATATAGCATTTTCCGACCAAATCTTTGGCTGTAGCTAGTTGTCAACGACAGCCAAAATATGGTCATCGTTGACCATCAACGATGGCCACATCTTTGGTCATCATTGACGACCAAATGTGGCTAGGTCTGGCACACAGTGGCCAGATCCACGGTGGATCTGGCTAGAAAAGGTTATCTCGGCGCACGACCAGCTAGATCCAGCCGGTCGTGCACTGATACGACAACTCTGGCCACCACCTCCGGTGGTGGTGGCCGACTGCTGGTATTCAATGGGTGGGTGGGGGTATTTTTGTAATTTTTAATATTTTTACCATAGGGGTGTTTAGTAAATTTACAAACCTAGGGGGTATTTTTGTAATTTTCACATCCTACCTCGTTATTCCCACCCAACTCTTACTTTTTCAAAAATCTTATCCAAAATAATAAAACAAACCGACCCAAGATTTTTTACATCATGAATCATAAATTGATTTGCGAAGCAATTTTAATAAATGGACATGGGTTATAATGTTTTAAATTTGAAAGCAACTTTTTCTTCATATGACAAATAATGAAATATGATCATCAAATATATTGTCAAATATACTAAAGAGGACAGAAAAAGTAAATTGTTTTTTATTTTTTTAACACCAAAATGATCAATTCAATTCAAGCATTACTTGTATCCTAAATAATATGGTATGAATCAATAACTAAAGGCCACTTATAATAAATAAGACTTGGCAAAATGGGTCCAGACCCGCGGGTCGACCCGGACTCAGGTAAAAAATATAGGGTGTGGGTTTAATGCATTAAACTCATTTTTTTGGACCTGTACCTGACTCGGCCTGTATTTTCAACGGGTTATACGGGTGTACCCGCAAGTACCCATTTATTATTTAAATAAAAATAAGGGGTTTGAAATCCCTAAATCAGTTCACTCTCAGTCTAAACGCAACTCTCTCTAGTCTCACCGTCGCCAACCATCTCCTCTCTCTCACCGTCGCCAACCATCTCCTTTCTCTCACTGTCGCAACTCGCCATCTCCTTTCTCTCACAGTTGCCACTTGCCACTCACCATCTCCTCTCTCTCACCGTTGCCAACCATCTCCTTTCTCTCACTGTCGCAACTCGCCATCTCCTTTCTCTCACAGTCGCCACTTGCCACTCACCGTCGCAACTCTCCTGTCTCACAATCTCACCGTTGCCGTCGCCATCTCTGGTATGTTTAATTTGCTGTTTTGTGGAAACTGAATGCTTAATTTGTTGTAGTTTGGTGTTTGCTTTGAATGGTTAATTTGTTGCCGCTTTCGAATCCCTTTAATGTGAGGATAGAACCTTCAAGCATTTAGTAATATCTGCACTTTCATATTGTAATGTATAATTTGCACCATAAGTGTCTCTATCAGTCAAGTTGATATTAGTGGAGGTATAGTGGCGAATCTTTTTATCAAAATCATTGGGTGGACTGTGGACTGTGGACTGTGGAGGCAAACCCACCACAACTTTGATTGACTGGAGAAATCTTGATCTTGTATAAATCTGCCGCATGATCATTTCATCATCTTGTACACGACATTCCACTTGGGTCGCATTTTTAGGCATTTATAAGTTGTCCTATCCTTTATTGTTTTAGCATTAAGAGATTGCTCTTAAGAATCGAATGTGCATTCTAGCACTCCTCAAGCTCAGAATATCATGATCCCCTGCATAACTTTTTTCCTATGAGAAAAAGCTACTTCATAACTTGTTGAATTCTGTTATCTATAGTTCTTATTGGCTTTAGATAAAATGATGCTTAAAGTTACTGCATGACAACTATATACATAACTTGTTTAGGAACTTAGCTGATTTATTTTCATAAATAATTTTGTTTGATCATATCAAATATTAATTTGTAGTTTGCTTTGAAATGATCTGATGTTATGCAAATTACTAGCGTATAATGATTTTGCACCAATATCTGCCCTTATGATTAGACCTGAGATTAAGAATTAAACCGTGATGTCTCATTGACCTGGAATTATATGTGTAGTCCACTACCATGCCTATTCATTCTTTCAGTTCCTTTGCTCCCATGTTGATGGATCAAGGAAATACTTATGTGTAAAACATTGAGGTTTTGTCTTCACGAATGCTGCAGGCTGTTACATATTAATTTTAAGTTGTCAAAATTTTGACTGAAATGATTTCTTCACTGCATTTCTTAATGGCAGCTCTTTGAGGTTGAGGCTGTTGTAGGTTGGGATGATGATTTGAGTTTTCCGCAACAACTCCTTGGAACAATAAAGAAGTGATCTATATGTAACTTCACTTTTGACAGTCNTTTTTTTTTTTTGTAGTCTCAAGCATTGACATGGCAGATTCTTAAACTATAGATATATACATGGTTAATGTGAGAGCAAGTGACGATGCTTCTAGGGTAACGCCACCTCCTTCTAATTATAGTATTCATGCAACTAGTTCTATAAATCAACGTAAAACATCAGAAGTTTGGAATTTCCTTGAGACATATGTTGATGAAAATAAGAATGAGAGGGCTAGGTGTAAGACATGCAATAAAACTTATGCATATGATAGTGCCACACATGGCACTAAAAATTTGAAGCGTCATATAAGAGGTTGTCCAAAAGGTGGCAACCATGATGTAGGGCAATTATTGATTGATCATGATCATAGATTGCAAAGTAGAAAGATTAGTCAAGAGACTTATCATGAACATATGGCATTATCAATTATTCAACATAATTATCCATATTCATATGTGGAGAATCAAGGAACTAGAAGAGTCTTTTCGTATGTGTGTAAGGAGCTTAAGCATTATTCTAGGAACATTGCTAAGGCGGATTGCTTAAAAATATATGAAAGGATGAAGCAAAAAACTAAGCTTAAATTAGGGAGGCTTACTAGTAGAATATGCTTAACTTCTGATGTTTGGACTTCTGGTACAATTGAGGGATATATTTCTTTGACAGCTCATTATATAGATGAGGATTGGGAGTTACAAAGTAAAATACTGAACTTTTGCCGTATTCCTCCTCCACACTTAGGGGTTGTTTTAACAGATAATATTATGAATTTCTTGCAAAAAAGGGGAGTTGAAAAGAAAGTTTTCTCAATTACTTTGGATAATGCAAGTAGTAATGATAGGATGAAGGATATCTTGGGGAACCAGCTTTGCGTGCAGAATGTTTTGTTATGTAGGGGTGAATTTTTCCATGTGCGATGTTTTGCACATATCTTGAATCTTATTGTTCAAGAAAGATTAAAAGCTACTAGTATTGCTTTAAATAAGATTCGAGATAGTGTGAAATATATTAAAGCAACTGAGGCTAGAAGAATCAAGTTTGGAGAACTTGTGGTACAAATGGGAGTGAAAAGCTAAATGGGGTTGAGATTGGATGTTTCCACTAATGGAATTCGACATTTTTAATGCTTGAAACGACGTTAATATATCGTCCTGTGTTTGTGGCTTTATCAACAATAGATCTCAATTATAAATTTTGTCCATCAGATGACGAATGGGATAGAGGGCGAGGATATACAAGTTCATGGAACCATTTTATGATATTACGACTTTATTCTCGCGTTCTAAATATCATACAACAAACTTGTACCTGAAATGTGTATGAGAAATTCAGTTGCGTTTAATTGAAGAGAGGATAAGTGAGGATGGAGTTGTTAGGAGCATGGCAGAACAAATGATCCCAAAATTTACAAAATATTGGGATTCTTATAGTCTTGTGTTGACGATTGCAACTACTCTTGACCCACGTCTCAAGTTTCAGTTTGTGGAGTATGCTTTCAAGAAAGTTTATGATTTAGCTACTACTACATGGAAGTTGGAGGTTGTTAAGAATAACTTGCAAAAGCTTTTTCAAGCTTACGAGGCTCAATGTTCCAAAGAAGTTCCTGGCTCACCTTCAGTTGTTTCTCCTGCGAGTGGTCCTACTCTTGGTACGCGTGTAGATCATTCTTTTGTAAGTCACTATACTTTTTTAGTTTTTATATTCTTATGATAAATAAAATATTGTTTATTGTTTAATTTTAACTTTTGACACTTAACTATTTAAATGGTGCAGGATTTTGACAACTATGAGAGTGATTTCATTTCCACTAAGAAATCCGAATTAGATCTTTATTTGGGAGAGATGAGGTTTGATTGCATCAAATATCAGAATTTGGATATCCTCGATCATTGGAAGAACAATCACGATCGTTAGCTGGTACTTGCCATGATGACTCGTGATATCATGGCAATACCAATAACATCCGTTGCTTCGGAGTTCGCTTTTAGTATTGGCAGTAAAGTGTTTAACAAATATCGAAGCTCACTTCGACCAAAAAAATGCAGAATCTTTGATATGCCCTCGGACTTGGCTATATGGATATGAGTTTACAGGTAGCATGTTAACATAATATTTCATATATTTTGTTATTTACATTTATTAACATTTGTAGTTGATTATTGTTTTGTAGATGATGATTCGGATGATGATCTTGATGTGCCATTAACTAATCCCGGGTCTGTGGAATCAAGAGACTCTATCACCTCCACTGTGGGATGAACATTTGTTGCCCTAAAAATGTTTTGTGTTGAGCATTTGATTATGTATTTGTTTATTTTAGTTGGTATTTGTAGTTTATTGATTTATTGTGTTTATTTATGTGTATTAGTAATTATGTATTTATTTATTTTGGTTGGTATTTGTAGTTTTGTATTATATGTTATTAGCTTGTTGTGTTTATTTATTTGTATTACTATTACTATTAGTGTTTATGTGTATTAGTGATTATGTATTTGTTTATTTTGGTTGGTATTTGTAGTTTTGGATTTTATGTTATTGACTTGTTGTGTTTATTTATTTGTATTACTATTAGGGGGCGTTTGGATCATATAATGTTTTTTTATCTTAGTAAAAATATTACCGGAAAGAAAGATTACATTGTAGATTACCGGGTTTAAATTATTATTGTACTTGGTTCAATTGGGATGTATTAACAATTAATGTGTTTGGTTAATAGTAATCACAGATGTCCTGAAAATACCAATTTACTAGAATGCCTTTTAGATGATTACTAGATATAAATAATTAAGGGCTTGTTTGTTTTATTATTTCAAACCCTATTCTCTATCATATTCCCAAAATACTTGTTTGTTTAATTATTTGGGAAATACTATTCTAGTTTTTTAATTACTTTTAGACCCCTTAAGTTTATTAACTTAATTAAACACCCCTAGAAAAAAAAGTTTAAAAATTAACAAAAACAACCTCACCCACCCATAGTTGCCAGATTCCGGCAACCACTGTCAGTGGTGGTCGGAATCTATCACAACGGCCTAAAAACGACCGGAAATGGCCTTTTACTCACCGATCTAGCTTTTTCAGCCAGATCCATGCTGGATCTGGCCGAAAAAGGCCAGACAACCAAAGAAATGGCCGTCTCTGACGGCCAAATCTGGCCTTTGTGGCTGTCGACGGCCAGATCTGGCATTTGTGGCTGTCGACGGCCAGATCTGGCCTTTTCCGGCCAGATCCATGGTGGAGCTAGCCGGAAAAGGCTAGATCGACACACCACCGGCCAGATTCGACCAGTCTGAGTTGTAACGGCAGATTCCGACCAGATTCCGGCGGTGGTGGCCGGAATCTGGCACTGTGGTGGTGGGGGTGTTTTTGTCATTTTACAAATTGGGTGTTTTGTAATTATTAACAAAGCTAAGGATACTTTCGTCCACATTGTCCACTATTTTGGGGCAAAATTGGACAAAAATTTGGATTACCGAAGTAATATTTTAATACCACCCTCCCCCCAGGTAATATTATTCCCGGTGATTTACCCCCTTTTTGGCACTGTTTGTCATCTTATTTTCTGGTAATGTTTTTGTACAAAAATGTCAAACACTGTAATCTACTCAATTAAACAAATATTACCCTTGTTAAAAAATTTCAACCCGATCCAAATGAGCCCTTAGTGATTATGTATTTGTTTATTTTGGTTGGTATTTATAGTTTTGTATTATATGTTATTGACTTATTGTGTTTGTTTATGTGTTATTTGTTTATTTTAGTTCATATTTGTTTATATTCTAAATTGAATTGAGTTTAGAGTAGTCGATTTTGGGGGTGTAAATGTAAAAAATTAAAACTGCAAGAATTTTGGGGGTGTAACTGTCATAATTGAAAACTATTAGAGGTGAAATGTAAAAACTAAAATCTGGAGAGAGAAAAAACGGGTACCCACGGGTCCACCCGTACCCGCATAGGGTAGGGTACGGGCCTAATATTTTGGACCCGTATATCTCGACCCGTATTGGGTCTGCACCCGTGACAACTCAACTCGAACCCGGCCCACCGGCCCGTTTTGCCAGGTAGTTATATGATTATATCTTCAATTTAATTTGATTGTTTGTTTTATTAAAAATATCAATTTTCAAATTTTATATAGTTAATTAATGGTATTAGAAATATTATTCACTACTAATAGAATCACAAAATTTTATAATAACTTGTAATTATCATGTAACTAATATATGGGTAAGTTGATTAAATACAAATATAGAAAATTTCATTTAGACGTCATTAATTTAAAAAAAAAAATCATATGTCATATCTTAAATATTTGAAATAAATATTATTTAAGTGTTTAATAAAACAAAACAAACAACTCCTAACATTTTTTTTAATCATATTTCATGGTCTATATTACAATTAGTGCCACATCCTTGGAACACAAGGAGATAAGTGATAATTTTACAACATATGAGGAAACATTCGATATTCTTGAAGTATCAGGAGAGTTCATTGATAATAACCTAATAACTATTTTTTATGGTTCGACCAACGCATTATTTAGAATTGGGCCGACCCCAAGACTTAACGTAAGGCCTACTTCCAAAACTCCCAGTCCAGTTATCCCAAAACCAGATCCAAATTCATTACCCAACCGACTCCGTATAACAACCCTAACCCTAATGTCTTCGCTATAAATTGTCACTCATTTTTCCAGCGGCCTCTAGTTCACCGTTGGGTTTTTCGAAGCAGAACAGAGCTCTCGCTTTCTCTGAGTACCTTCAACCATGGTATCGCTTCTGTTACTCCTCTTTCACTAGATGCTTGCTAATTTCGTTTATGTTCTGTTTGCGTTGATAAGATGTGTGTATTTCAGTTTCGGTTTTGAAGTTGAATGCTTATATTATCATGCTATTTAACTTATTTATTGACATTTTTCTTGAATCCAAGAAAGTAGGTTGGATTGGGACTTTAACTTCTTTGTGAACTTATATTGTTGGATGGCGAAAGAGATTATGCGATTTTTTACTGTTGTTTTTTTTTTTTTTTTTTGTTTTTTAATTCACATCGAAGGAAAGAGGTTGCTTTAGTTAGCTCGGGCAGTGAAATCTAGAGTGAATGGATTTAAGTATGTAGCTGTCAATTCCTATGTAGGATCTAGTTTCATTGAGTGAAGTTAATGTGTGTTTGTTTGCCTTTGTTGTTTGATGATCAATGCTCAAATCTGCATTTGATGTATTTATATGTGCGGTTTTCTATTTTTAATATGAGGTACGTTGATTAATTGAATTCTTCTGGGCATTTAATTTGAAGGATATATTATATGCATTTGTTCGGCTTGTAGTACTGACTGGAAAAAAAACAATAGCAGAGACATATATCTAATGTTGAGTCATTTCTCTTACGGTAAATTGTTCTATTGAAGTATGTTTTTGATAATTCATTCTTGTTACTGTTAGAATCTGTTTCAGATTTGTATTTAGGTGCAAAAAGCATATATCTAATGTTGGGTCATTTCTCTTAGGGTAAATTGTTCTATTGAAGTATGTTTTTGATAATTCATTCTTGTTACTGTTAGAATCTGTTTCAGATTTGGATTTAGGTGCAAAAAGTTGTCAAAGTTCACTGTGATTGCTTAAGAATGTGTTGGCGGTTATTTAAATTTCCATTATCTTAAATGAATCGTAACCTGTCTTGTAGGTGAACGTTCCCAAGACAAAGAAGACATACTGCAAGAGCAAGGATTGCAGGAAGCACACCTTGCATAAGGTCACACAATACAAGAAGGGCAAGGACAGCCTTGCAGCTCAAGGTAAGAGACGTTATGATCGCAAGCAATCTGGTTATGGAGGACAAACCAAGCCCGTTTTCCACAAGAAGGTAATAATTTATGTGGATTTCTTTTGTTCCTTGTTGAAACATGAATTCTTTTTGAAATGAATGAAAAACTTTAGTTTTGATGTCTGTTGAGTACTTCATGTTAATTCCAGTTCTGATGCTCAAAATGTTTACTGGTTTTTTATCTAATAGGCAAAGACAACAAAAAAGATTGTCTTGAGGCTTCAGTGTCAAGGTTGCAAGCACGTGTCTCAACACCCTATCAAGGTTGGTGTTTTGAAACATTTTTGCATACTTTAGTAGTTTAGTTCTTCCTTTTTGCCTTTATCTGCTAACTTTGTTTGTGCTGGTATTTGCAGAGGTGCAAGCACTTTGAGATCGGTGGAGACAAGAAGGGCAAGGGAACATCTCTGTTTTAAATTTCGTGTTGTGTTATTTATTTTCAGCTGTTAATGCAACTTAGCCTGTATGGCAAATATTTTGTTTAGTTGTGTTTTTGTCTGATGAGTCATTTTAAAACATTTGAGTTGTTTTTTTTTGGTTGAAAACAGTTTATGATATCAATTAACTTTAGGAATTTATTGGGCTATTATCAGCAATACTTGTTTGGTTCAATTAAGATGGGATTTGCTTACATTATGACGGTGCCTGTCATAGCCAAAATGGTGAATGAGTAATGTTGGGATTGGTTAGTCTTACTAGTAAAACATTTTGAATGTGTTTGTATGAACAAAATAGGATGGGACTTGAGAAATCGGATTTTAATCATTTGTTGTAATATGAAATGAGGAATTATCGAAAGTATTCTTACATTTCTATGTACATAGAATTAGTCTTTGTACCGAAGATGGTATGTTACAGAATCAGATTCAAGATGATATCTTTAAATATCACAGAAACATTTGATGGGAGAGGACTTCAGGGGAATAAACTTCACTGAGATAAGAGGGATCTGTTCAAAATTAATAGGTTTTGAAGTAAAACATAAAAGGCAAACGTTTGCCACCACCAACGGCCAACATAAAAATAGAGAGCTAAACATTGTGAAAATAGAGAGCTAAACATTGTGAAAAGAAGAAGAGGGAATGGCTCTTCTATTTTCAAATCATGGAAATAGTGAAAAAACTTAACAAATCTCTTCGAATCAGTAACACTAAGAGGCAAATGGAAATCCTATCTACGACAACATATTAAAGGTGAAATTTATTTTTTCAGACATCATATAATCGTGATGGCACAAGAATCCAAATACAACAGGTTAATATTATAATTTACATGAAAAAAAAGCTGAAATTTTACCTTAATCTGCAGTGAATCGACAGAGAGTAGCAGGAGGAGATGAAGAGCGTGAGAAGGGAAGAAAGAAGATGAGTTGTTTTTTGCCCTAATCTAAAGTATTTATATGTGGCAGGTAAATTACAAATACCCCCCACTCTTTAATAACATTTCATTTCAGTCCCGGTTTCGGTTCTTGATTCTAGGAACCGGAACCGGAACCGGAACCGTACAGTGCGGTTCCAGATTTTTGGAACCGGAACCTACTCGTTGACGATCGGTTCTGGGTAGGAACCAGAACCAAACACCGGGTACCCAACGGTTCCGGTTCCGAACGGTTCTTTTGAACACCCCTAACTATTACCATAGAAATCCCGTTATTACCCTCGGAAGGTGCTAGCCCTCTTCGGATAATCATTTCTCTCTGTCATCCTTCTCTAACTTCTCAAGGCTATTGGTGTGACCATGTAGGTCCACCGTGGATTAGCCCTGAGCCGGTTCTGGATGAATCTGAAAACCTGTCCGAAGGCCCAACGACTATGGTAAACATCTAGCAATGTGCCATAGTCCCTAAACCACGATGAAGAAATACTTCATCGAACCCATTTCAGATCATACGTACCATGCAGGTAAAGTCCGTCCATTGAGATATCCTAATCGAGTATGGATTCATGGAACGTCAAAATCCTAAACTCGATCTTCTACCGAATTGTCGATCAATATGTCCGAAACTTGTCATCACAAACTTACTTTTGTATGACTAATAATAGACTCTGGCCAGAGATTCAATTTTCTAACATTTATCGATGTTTGTCTAGGAACTCGAATCCGGATGGAGTCAGCGGTACTCCCGATCCTATATTTCTGACTCAATGGATCCCCTCTTGACCATCGTTCTTTTCCGCATATGAACAACGCATGACCAAATAGGCTTTATTGTACGAAACATGATTAGTCTCGTACTTATACACCGTATGAACCATACGCATCCATATCAGATCCGACTACAATGTCTCAGGTCGAAGGACTACATCGTGCACTGATATAACCAAACGATAAATCATTGACTAATGCTTTTCCAAGTGATTTGCCGTTATTCGGTCACGTTCAAAAAACAGTTCACCAACCGTTAATCCATATCAATGCCCCAGTGACATGACTATCATCGTCATCCGTACTTATATCAACTCATGATATCTTTCAGAAGCATCCAGTATGCCTACTGTGCAATATAGTTGCCCAAATTTATATTGCTTCCATAGGGAACCCTTTTTGATAATTCATTTACCTATTAAATGAATCATCTGGACAATTCATATACATACTTTATTTTAAATGCATGACTGAATAAAGGAAGCAATTTACATATATGAATTGAAGAACTCTTTCTTCTATTATTTATGATATATATAGATACAAGACAAAATGCTCTGAAACGGACAACACGAATGGTTTCTAGGGCATACACTAATATACACTAACAGCAGTAATCCTGTCCAAGTCCGTGAGGAGCTCCAAACTAGTCGTTTTGTTAACTGCAAAGAAAAAAAATAAAAAAAGAGCTCATTAGCGAAGACAAAAAAAAAAGTTCGCAAACTTATGAAAAAGGGAAAACCTACTTGGATCCTAAAAATAGCAAAGGCCATCGTAACGGAAGAAAAAGAATTTCATCTCGTAGGCTCCTACATTGCTCGGGTAAGTGTGTATACCCGCTTCAATGGTGGTTCGCTTAGAAAGCTAGTAAGAATCCTTTTCCTTACTTTTCTTCAGAACGTACGAGCAACTGAGTTCCACTGCGATTAGCTCGCCCAATCTGCTCTCACGGCACATTATGTACATCGCCACTGCTATCATGTATACGTTTGGCGTGAGCTGAAGTGGCATGAGCTGAAGTGGCGCGATCCCGAAATGGTCGAGGACCGACCTGACAAAAAGGTGGAAGGGGATCAACCCTCCACTCTTGAATATGCTCTCGGAGATCGCAGCCAACCCTCGTGGTGGATTTTGAGTTACGCATGTCCTATCTCGAAAGACTTCCATGCGGAGAGCATATTGCTCTACTATCTTTTCAAGATCCTCAGCAGTCATCACCAACAGGATCTCTTGAGGGGGACCCGCAAAGGCATCCCGCGTAGACGAACTGGTCCCTTCCTCGGCTCTGGTCGTTGGGGGGTCCATCCTACTACGGTCTGCAAAAGCGACAAGCAGTAACCGTTTAGTCCTTGTACACTATTTCGTACGATGACATGGAGGAAAAAGTAAATATTTCCTCCCTTAAACCCTAGAAAAACCCTAACAATATATTTTGAGCCATCATTCATGGCTCGAGCCCAAGGAGAGTGTTTCATCTCCAATTAACTATTGGCAGACTGTCATCGCATGGCACCCATCGAAAGCAAAGAATAATGAGAATGGCAGAAGGAATAACTCTTACCTCTTGGAATGAGAAGAATAAATCCTCTTGCTTTAAATGTCAAGTGCACACTGGTTTGAAAGGCAAAGAATCAACGTTCACGAAAATCTCTTGCTCTCTTTGAGAAGATGAATATTGTGACATCGCCTAAAGTGAACCTAGGTTTTTATAATGAAAGAAATGGCGATTTGGTTTCCTGAAGTCAAACGATGTTTGGGCGGAAAAATGCATCTCACCATTGATCGCGACCATGTGTCGCAGATCAACGAAGAAGAGTGACTGTTATGCTTCAAGAAACCAAATCGTCATTCCCTTCCATTGAAAAACTCAAGCGACGACACGTTCTCCCTCCTTCACATTAAATGCGCCCACATCCGCATTTAATGCTCTGATAGGGAATGTCGTTTTAGCATGGCTCGTATTTAATGCACATCACTGACACTTATTGCGTATAAGACACGTCTGTCAGAACAAAAGTATTTCATCAAATGCATCCGCTACAAAAATGCAATAGATAACATCTGAAGAGGTCGTCAAATAGAACACTCTTCGTTTTGTTAGTCGTGAAGCGACGTGACTCTTCGATTCTATCCTATCAGTTGCGAAGCGACGTGACTCTCAATGTGTATTCAGCTCTGAAGCAACAAGATCCCTTGTCCAGTAAAGAATTCCAAATGTAACTAGGTCGTGAGCTTCGGAAGATCGAAATCAAGGCACTGATATGGTCTAAGATCAGGTCGCTCATCCTTAAAAGCGATGACTATCTTAGGTCGCACGCATAAAAGCGTCGCCTCGACCTCTTCTCGATCAGGTCGGGTCGACCAGAATCTCTACAAAAGCGTCAAGTCATGGCATAATATGTAGTTTCCAAGGTTCGATGCTCAAACCTTAAAAACTAGGGGACTTTTGTTATGCCTGAAAAAGTAGGGCTAACGTAGAGTTCAGTCAGCATAAATAGTCAGAGCTTAGGTAAACCTGCAGCCATTCAGGCGCAGCCATGTCGCGTGATGACATAAGCAACATGCTCCTGTTAGTGCAGTGGGTGTGCGCTAGACTAGTCAGGGGCTAGAGAGATTCCACGTGTCCAATCCCTGCACCAGATCGCGTAAATCGCTCTAGTAGGTGGGCAACGGGACATAGAGAAGGATTTGCACGGATAATCTAACCAACTCACAGATTTAGTAATCATTACCTTAACCCATCCCACTATAAATTGAGGGCTCCCCTCTCATTTGGGGGATTAGCTAATCTCTGTAAAAAATAGCATACGCTCTCTCTCTCACTTGTAATCATTTGTAAATCAGCTTGCTGAACGCGACCTGACCGCTATTATTAATACAATACCAGTGGACGTAGGATTTGCTTTCTTGAGCATCCGAACCACTTGAAACATTGTTCTCCATCTCTTTGACTCTCATTCTCCCATACACATCTGTTATCTGAGTCAGCTCAGCGTTTCCCACGTGCGTTTGGTTGGTGTCAAAATCATGCATCAATAAGTTTGATAATTTCCAGGGAGCATTAATGAACAGAGATAAGATAGCTGTGAAAAGGCTTTCATCAGGAAGGTCTGGGCAAGGTTTAGAAGAGCTTAAAAATGAAGCACTGGTCATTGCCAAAGTCCATCACAAAAATCTAGACTTTTGGGTTGCTGCATCGAAGAAGATGAGAAGACTTTGATCTATGAGTACATGTCTAATAAAAGCTTGGACTTTTTCCCCTTTGGTTTGTAAAGATTCTCGAACTATATCAAATTATTTATTTGGTTACTTTTTAAATTCGCAGTGTTGGTTCTCTCTTCTTAATTACCATAGCTTTTTTATTTGCTATAAACCAGATTAAGTGAAGTGTAAGTTTTTAGATTGGAGAACACATGTTTGAATTATTGAAGGGATTGCTCATGGACTTCTTTATCTTCATCATTATT